CTTATTCAACAACTAAGGTTATAGAGAATGATCACAGGTTGAGGGACTACTTTCACTGTGCTAACTCAGTTGGTAAGACAGTGCATCAAGTGTATTTATACATCTGGCTACCCACTTAATAATCTTTCTTTTCATACACTACTAGATGAAAAATAATAGAAGTACTTAAAGGCCTAGGAGTGGATGCTTTGTTCATCACCTTATCCATCTGTAGTAAACACAGAGTATCTAATAAAAAGATGTTATTACAAGTTATTTTTTTAAAAGAACCAAAATAGTCAAACATATTTTGAGCAGTCATACATTAGTGAATTCATGGAAAACAGCTGTCAGATTAAATCTTATCCGTCATACATGATCTTACCAGTTTTTCAGCAGCTACATGAAGCACTGCTGATAAAAGTTTTCCGGCAGTACCATTAGCTACACAAGGTTGGGCCGCATCTTTAAGGACAATAAGGGGTATACTTCCATCTTGGATCATAGGGCCTACGAGTTCCCCTAGATACAGCCAAATCTTTGGAATATCTATCTCGAAATCATCGGCTAATTCTAAGACAGATTTTAGCCTAAAAACAGAAAGAGAACAAGAATAAGGGTAATAATATTTATTACTCCTAGTAGAACTTGTATTAAAATCTACTCTCAATCACAGTGAACAGGAAAATCCTGTAATGTGAAATACAAAAAAAGAATGAAAACAAGACAAGTTACTGTTCTAATAAGCTTCATTATAAATAAAAAAATTCCACCACAAAAGTAACAAAGTTTGCACGTAAACACTATTTTATAAGATTTAATTTAAATATCAGCAGTGTATTGACACACACAGACACATCTTTGGAAACTTTTCTATTCAACTGTAGCATCAGAGGGATAAGTAAAGAACTACAATCTCTAATGTTCTAATCTGGAAACAGAAAAATATACTTAAGGTCATAACTTACCCTTCGACATACTGCTCAACAGAGAGAATATTTTTTCGTACCAAATCATGAAACAGTTGACCAACTAAGTGTCGAGCCTGACTAGAGCGCTCAAGAACTTGATTAATGGCAGAAGAAATGAAAGAACAAATAGTAGACTGAGAAAAGACCTCTGAAACACAAAGAACTGCCTCCTGTAAAAAAATAATAAAATACAATTTAATTCAACAATAAAAATCTTAGCTTACTTAATGCTTACTTAATCATACTTCACATAACAAAACAAATTGTGAGATTCTCTGTAGTTCACAGTTGTTACATTTATTTGTAGTGACTCAATGTTTGGGTTTACACTTTCATCAGAAACATACAATTTCTGTGTATCTGTTTTTGACAGAAATTATATACTCCTGATGAAGGAATAAAGTCAAAACATTAAGCAAGTAACACAAATTGCAAGATTGACTGGAGCTCAGGACTGTTATATTTATTTATTTATTTATTTGTAACTAAAAATCTTAATACGATTATTAAATTTACCACGTACATATAAGCTTTCTCAAGAACACACAGTAATGTGAAAATGGAATAATGATGATACGAACCTGTATTTTCAAATTTTATTCTAATGTACAAAATTAAATAAATCACAATATAAAAAGTTCTTCTGCATTAAGTTAAAACTTGTGACAAACTCCTGACCACAGAATTGTATTACAAAGGAACATGAATGTCTAACACATTTCAATTTTCACTATGGTAGCTTACAAGTATTTAGTCTACCAGTTAGTTGTATTTGGTTCCAATATGATACAATAGTTAGTAATTTTTAAAAGTTACTTGTCTATGTTTTCATTTATTGTAATATAATGATCTTATTTCTTTACTACTAAAGTTAAATGAAATAACACAGAGTCAGTACACAAGGTTCAAAACAAATACTGGCACCTACAGTAAAAGAAACAGGTTAAATCTCCACTTACAAGAACAATCTTCCCATATTCTAGACTAAGACAGCGTTAATAAATTTATATTTTAAATACACCCACTTTCCTTCTACTGGTAAGAAATTCAAACAACTGGCAAAACACAGTACTGTAGGTTAAAACAGAGTTACAATATTTTAAAACTTCACTTTCAACTAGCTCAGTCATAAATGAAACAGCATCATGGAGCTAAAAGATACAAATGTGTAGGCAATATTCGGTGCAAAATTTTATCCCAACAAAAATAGATTCAAATCCCTTGTAGTATTAGTTCTTCCCTAATAAACCAATACCGAAAACCATAAGCATACAAGTGTATATTCTACATTATTAAATACACTATACGATAATGCAGATTTTGAAACCAGTCAATGTCATACAGTATCGTACTAAACACATCAAGAACATTTACATATTGAAATCAATTTTTGTCTCAGAAGTTCAAATATAAATCACAACTAGTAACGACGTCATCATCATAGTAAAACAAGCAAGCAGTGTTAAAAAACACGTATGGTAGGAATGAGAGATAAAAAAGCTACAACTAGCAACAGACCTTAAAATCTTGAAGATGCAGGAACTCATCAATCAACTGTTTAGTCTTGTTATCGATTTCCTCCTCCGTTAAATGTCCACTTTTCAGACTATTATCAGTCATTGTCAGAGCTATAAAAAGAAATTCATCTGTAAGATGCTGGCACTACAGATGTACGTCTCTGATGAGAACCAGGTGAAATTATACCTTTTAATGTTTTCGGAAGAAATTGAGAAACACACCTGTATTGCACTTTAGTTTAACAGAAAACAACAAACATATGGGTTGGATGAGTTTAAGGCAATGTATGTATTATATACTTGATGTTGAAGTTAGTTAAAAAATATACACTACTTCTTATGATGATGGGATTATATAAATAACACTATAACAAACTGTCTGATGTTGTTGGATTTAAAAACAAACTATTATGACTATAAGCCTAAAAAACTATTATGATGTGTTTACACCACCATATTACTTTGCCGAGGATCACGAATGGATACCATTACAGTAACACAATTACCCAAAAGACAACACTATTATGAAGGTACATTGATATTTAAAACTTCATAAAACATAACTGTTTAACTTAATATTGAAAATTGGCACGATGTAATATATTTGTTCAAGTTCTACAAAAAATCAAGTATTTGCATCTTATTAGAAACCATTTTTATTACTGCTTTATTTTAGGGTAAAAATGTATAAAGCTATCTTTTACTAAACATTTTATTTAGGGATATCAGTGAAATGGATGGATAAATATCATATTGTCATAATATTAATAATGTTTTCCAAAAGTATAAAGTAACATTAACGACAGATCTTTAGATGTTAATATATATATATATATAAATGAAGCAAATTACAACGATGTTAGTATTATTAATAGCTTTCATGCTACTTTCACAAGAGGGCAGTAATGCGTCTTCTTATACAGACCTTGTTCCTTTATCTTCTTAGGTTCAGGTTTTGGTTTCTCTTTAGTGAAAGACTTGACTGTCTCAATCAACTGTTCCTTCTCTTTAGGCAGTGTTTGAGAAGGTGTCTTTCTAACAGATGGAGGAGGAAAATGACTGGCTCTACCTCTGCTTGATTCTCTACTTGAAGGTGTTGATCTGTCAAATATGCAATTTTTTTAAATACTGATGGACTTATATGGACCACATTTAGATTACAAACTAATAATCTGTATTATTTTTCCACAATAAAACCACTAACGCAAACGATATCGGTACAAAGTTTAAAGAAAAATCCACCTGGTCACCCCCAATCAACAGAGAACCACACTTAGAGAGCTTTATTACTGCAATTGAGAATGAAGTAATTCAAACCATTAAAAGTGCGAAATAATCTCTCCTACAACAAACAAGCTGTTCTAATTTTACTGAAACATGACAATAACGTTATTATTAAACAAGCTGATAAGGATGGCGCCATTGTCATTCAGGACAAAACCGACTATACACCCTTTGTTCTCCTAAAGAAGAATAGTCAGCTATTCAAAAGTGCTCGAGTTTTGGGTCTTATTTTAAGTCTATTACACTTTATATGTGATCCTTTGTGCTAACTCTTTTATCAGAACTAATAACCTGTATTACAGTAGAATAATTTTTTCAAAAACAACTTGATACAATGCCAAAGACGTATTCAAACAATTAGCAATCCCGATACAAGTAGAAAAATGCCTAAATAACGCTTTTGAATCATAAGAACGTAGCATTTCATTTGAGATCACAGTTGCTAAGATACAGTATTATCTACAGTAAGTGTTCCAACTACATTTGTTGTATCAGAAGATTGAATTGGAGTAAAAACCTTTAACTTTTTACAAGGAAAAAAAAACAAAACTTGTCATTCACAACAGACACAAAACATTTTTCTTTCTTTCTTACTTACCTCTGAGGACCTCTTCTAGATTCATACGCAGGTATATTTTGCTCTGCTGCTAACGCTGAGAACCTAGAGCAGTGAAAAGATGATTTAAATAGTTTCCTTGCAAAAAAAAAATCATATTATCTTGGCAAGATACAATATCATATACAAAAATGCATTCAAACACATTGTATTATTTGTATATAAAATGCACAGGAGCCACTTTTTTTAAAAATATTTTACAACTGTTAAAATTTGAGGTTAGCTCTTATTTTAAACAGAAGTATTGTGGGTAATAAAATCCAAATTTAACATTTACAAAGATGTTTAACTATTTCAGGGGATAAATGACTTCACTATTTAATTTTTTTGTAAAACTTGCTGTACAACAAAATCTTAATTAACAATTTAATTATCTTTATAGAGCACTTAGAAGTTTTTCAAATCTTAAGCAGTATTTTAATGAATTTCACATGGTACACTTCATCAAAAAGAAATGTTTTTTTTAAATTCTTGAATTTGAAGACAAAAAAATCTGGCAACAAGCTTTCTATACTGGATTATTTTTTTACTAATTTTTACCTACTACATTTATCCTATATAGAAAAATAAAACAAAAAGTCACACCTATTTGAAGGCACTGAAACTTTAGGTTCATTGTCTACAGCAGCCGGCTTAGTTCCACCACTACTTCCCCGTCCCCAACTCGAGAAGGATCTACCCCCAGGGCCTAACTGGATACTTTCCGTATCTTGCTGGTTCTGGTTAATTTACAATTAAACAGGAAGTGTTTACATTTTAAGCACATTCCAGTAAACGCAACTTTCACTCAAAAAATAAGTGCCTCAGTAACGAGGAATTCCATTACTCTCATCACAGTAGTCTGACACGTTACACTTCATCATAGGCACACAACAAAAAAAAACAAAAAACTTTATCTATCAAAATAGAGAATAACAAATAACTGAATATACATAGATTATGATCCAATCATTTAAAAAACAGACATACAACAAACTATTATTTTAAGCAATTGTCTTTCAAAGACATGAATGTAACAGATATTCTCCTCTTAACACATTTCACTGTTTGTTTCAGATACTCATGAAAAAAAACAACAAAGGCTCGATTAATTTTGAACTGACAAATTACAGAAGGAAGCTAGTTGACAGCCTAATGCCAATTCTTCGTCTGGTCTAACTAGACAGTGAGAACTGGTCGTGACTCTTACAGAGTACCCATGGCCTCAGCAATAGAGCTCTCTACTTCACCATCTAGGTATGTTAATCAGTAGCCTGCATTGAGCCAAACATGTTACGTAAAAAGAACAAACTGTAATCTGTTTAGAACTAAGTGATTTTATAACACAAAATATCATGCCTGGCATAACTAATTATTATCAAAAACACTAAAAACTAAGTTTAAATATTCTTATAGCTTATTTACTACACAGACTTAACTTTCTATTCACACTTCTCAGTATGCTTAGTGTAATATTTCTAAAATGAAATATTCATCCAAGTAAAACAGATACATACTACACTTAAAAATGAGCCTTCAATTTCTAAGAATTACTTTTACTGTAATTTTCCATTTCAAAAACCCTTTCAGCTGGTTAATTACAAAATAACAAGTTAGCTGGTGGTGTACTTATATTAGACCCACTCAAATGGTTCGAGTTTTTATTTTCAACATCTGTATTATATATAAAGTTAACTTTTTTTGGCAAAACTTTGTTAGTTTTTCAACTCCAGCAAAAACTTTATGAACAAGTTAAATACATACCTTAGATAGTTGCTTTATCTTATTAGGATCTATCTGTGTTCTATGTTTGTTTGAAACTGTGCTCCAGCCATCTTCTGAATATGAGGTGTTACCCCGGTCTGTAAAAGAGCCATTATAATTATACAAACTAGTAAGACTTAATACAGATATAAGTTGGGATAAATGCATTAATACTAGCTCTTGTTCATTTTAACAAACGTGTACGGCTTTGATTAATGAAAATTTAATCAGAAAAGTAAAATTGGAGTTGAACCCTTTCTTCACTTGAGAGGTGTTAATGATAGTACCTGATTCTTTCCTTTTCACAGTGAATGTATTTAAACATTATGAAATTTAGTACAAACTTTCTAAATAGTGTCTTATTTCTCCTAAAAATATATAATTTGATTTGGTATTTATATTGTTTATAAGCTTTAGAATTTTTTTTAAATATTAAAAACACTTCTTTTAACTCTTTCAACCCAGGCTCAGTCCCTAGGACCGACCTCGTAGCCATTTTGTGCTTGTTATAGTTTTCATGCTATAACTTTAAATTAGTAAGCGAATAGTTAACGAAATTTGGTCAGTTTATCAGTATACATTACAACGGTTATATATGCATAATATCTAATTTTTTATTTACGTCTTAAGGTTTGTAAAGCAATGATTCTCACATGCCTTTTTTTTTTTCTTTTCACATCTTGCCTATCCATTATGCAAAGTAATTTTCATTTTAAGATTAAAAATACTTTTATGCATAAGAAAATGTTGAAATTTCACATGCAAAATCTTTATAATGTCCAAATAGTTAAACATTTCTTAAGAAAAAACTTTATAGTTTATACATTATTTTCAGTAACTAATCTCTGTACGGGTTTGGTAAATTTGACCGATCTCGCAACCACCATAAAAAAAATTAGGAAGTAAACAAATTATGCCTTTTCCTTTCTAGAATGAGCACATATTATAACACAAAAACATAAATGTTTAGATGAAATAGTTTAAATCTCATAACATTATACATTTATTGTTTTTATTATATTGACCTTTCACCCGTGCCTGGCTAACAATGTAGAAGTTACAACAACATGGCTCACATGCACTCATGTTACCGTATCAAATAACATAAAGGTGACCTTTTGTCTGTACAAAGTAACTTGTCTTGGCTGTGTTTTAGTCGACTGATATTTTGTAAAATACGGTCACATTTCAATTATTATACATTATATATGTATATAGATTATCGCTATTTTGAAATAAGTTCTTAAAGTTATTTTCCTAAAACATAGAACAGTAAATAAAGAAGTAAAGCAAACAATTATTTCTTCTAGTTACAATCTTTGTATTTGGTTGCTGCTTGATGTAGGTTGCTAAGTCTTTAAAAATTCTACACGTTGAGGATATGAAACAAATATTTTTTTTAGGTTTTATATATATATACTTTTGAATAACTAAAAAATCATAAATTACTACATTAATACCATAGAATTCTACTATAATTTATCAAGCTTAGTAACCAAGCTGTATTTGGGTCTAAAAAAAATATGAAATTTCGAGCAGACTAAAGACAACCTACCACATTGAAATCTTGGTTTAAAAGAAAGAAATGGTGCTATATATGTTAGAAAGACTAGAAAAACCACTAGGGGGACATTCTGAGCTTCCAATTGGTTATTCATGTAATGTATAGAAGTAAGTGTATATAGTATAAAGTAATTACTATCTCGTATATCAGTGTTGTGCTAATTATAGTTTTCCATGCCAAATAATTGGAACTGAAGTATAGCTTGCTTTAACCACTGTTGTTTAAAAATCAACACTATTATATTATTATTAAGTTACAAAAATATCTTAGCTTAGAAAATGTTTAATTATTTTATGAATGTACCCTCCCCCTTTTACTAATTGTTATGTATATAGCATAAATGAAAAAATATGATGTACAAGTTCTTTAACCTATTATGCACAACTTTAGTCCATTGGACCGGCCCTCTACTGGAGAAAGATAATTGACTATAATTCTGAATTTACTAACTATATCTACACCAAAGTATGGCAAGCTTGTAGTAAAATGTACAAGTCTGTTGTACACAAAAAATCAAATGATTTACACAAGTATTTGTACTGAAAAGGCAGAGTTCAAGGTGATGTTCACGAAGTTACAAAGGTGTTCGTACTGAAGATATGTCTATATTAGCCTGACTCAGACTCTGACAGGGCAGAGTTCAAGGTGATGTTCATGAAGATACAAAGGTGATCTTACTGAAGATATGTCTATATTAGCCTGACTCAGACTGACAGGGCAGAGTTCAAGGTGATGTTCATGTGAAGAACAAGATACTTTGTCAATATCCCTGCACTACTCTACTTTAAATGTCATTAAATCAGCATTGGAGGATGTCATGAATAGTTGGTAACTCTAACATTAAATACATACCACATTGAATGGCATCCTGTAAAATGTCGTGACATTGACCCCTACCCATTCACATGGGAATAAAATGGTTTTTATGGACTAGTTTAAGCCCTTTTGTTTCCGTAATAAAATTCATGGGAGTTTCATATTTGTTTCATTTTTAAACGTCTTTGTACTTGCAATCTCTAGCTCTCACTCAACTTTCACAGTCGGTAATCTAAAGATTCCTCTAATAACATCTGTTTGACACCCAGAACACGTACATACAAAGATAATAGATCGTATAACTCTAAAGATATGGTTCCTGATGTGACAATACTTTTTTAAAGGTTAGTTTTTTCATGTTTAGATTCATATAAAAAAACAATAAAAATGCAAACAGTGTTATTCTTACTACCAACAGTATTTTTTTTACTTTTAACATTATATTTATTTCGTTAGCAAAACTAAGTTGTTCCTCCTCTTAAATCCTGAACTTACTTTTTCTCCTATCCCTGTCTTCGGGTCTTTTTTGGGGAATCACTTGTTGAAGTAACATCTCCTGTTCTTGAGCTTCCATCTTGGCTTCTTTGTGGATCTGATCAATTGTTTTGGGGTTGTTTTCATCCCTCCTTGGCACCCAGTTGTTCTAAAAATTTCCGTTTCAATGAATGAATAATAAACCATGACTAATAAGCATTTTTTATTCATGCAAGATCTAGGTTTAAAGAGCTATGCATAGTATAACTTTGAATTCACTGAGTGTTTCTACCAGAAACTTGGCAAGCTATTAGTAAACATCTAAAAGCATCATACAGTTACAATCCCACTCATAAATAAGTCTATAAGCATCCAGACAAAGTAATCAATTACTGGCAATTAGTGTTATGACACTGCCATTTCTCCATAGGTGGCTATTAACAAATGATCGTAAAGCATATGTTCAAATATAATCACAGCAAAATTATACGTTCAATTACAATGTTGGTTGTTTTATTAATGTAACTTTCATTATTTCCTTAAAAAGCGATCTTGATATCATAGACTTGATCTCGAGCTATGTGAATATCCTTTATGAAGTAAAGAATTTTCCACATGCAATGTTTATTGAGAGAGTTGAAAGTGAACAGTAGACAGACAATGACAATTTCATTTGATGTGGCAACCTGCAAAATAATGTGACTGGCAGTAGTTTTTCCCAACAAAAAGGCAAAATATACATGTAATATTCTTCCTTTCTTCTAGAAATGGTAACAAAACAAAGGTTAAAAGAAAGAGCTAAGACTACATGTATAATAAAGAAGAAAGGGTTTTTAAATACAGGAATAAGTTACAGATTGTTGCAAATTCACTATTTTCCTCTCTCGAGGAAGGGCTTCCATCAGAGGAATCTGAAACTAAAGGGCTTCATGCTTCTGTTTGGTCACCTCCAACAGAAGCTGACTACAAAACCAACTGGTCAAGAAATCCTGATCTTTTTTTTTTATTTAGTCTTATTGACAGATAGGTATGTAGCTGGTCAGAAATTTTTTTTCAGGTAAGGATGTTCCTGAATTATCAGGCCAGATGTAGTATATGAACATACCATCAATTTATCTTTTCTGAATATATCCTTTATTCTGTATACGAGCAGGTTTAACAAGAAGTACTTCTTTTCATGTGAAGTTTTTTGTTTTTGTCTTTAATTTTGTGTCTCCAATCATTTAAATGTATCCAATAGTTACTTTTTCAGTAAAAGTATAATTATTTTGTGTGTGTCTAATAACAACATGGTCTGGTCTGTTCATATAAACTCTTATATGCAAAGAAACCAACTGTTAAAAAAAAACTTTGAAAGAAAGAAAACCAGATTTCTTTTAACACTATTGATCATAAAGTTCCATTTTATACATCCAATAAGTTCTATGAGTACTCACCAACCCTAAATATCCTTAACTGATGCCTTCGCATATAAGAACATTCCGGTAGCTTTAAGACACACATAATATAAGATACAGGGTGGTGCAAAAGTTGTGCCCCATGGGAATTTTGAATAACAATAATAATAAAAAAAAGTAATGACTTGTCTATTAAAGTAAATGTTCGAACTGCTGGCCATTAACTTCACAGCACTTACTGATTTGAAGTGAAACTATACAAAAATCATAGATACAAGGATTGTTGTTAAGTTTTGTATTAGAATCCTTTGTTCTTCACTAAGAGATGTTCTGCTAGTTGCTTTTTCAGAAACTATACATTACAGTGTTTCTTTACTTTACAATAATGAAGGCAGACAAGAATATTTTGGTTACTGTCCAGCCCACTTTCTGTGGCATAATAAAAGCCTCTCTGCACATGTTTCTTGAAATAGTCATTACGAGATAGGAAATATCAAATGAGAAACAAAAATTTAGATAAGTCTATTACAAATGGATGACAGTCTAAAAAATATATTTACATTTTGGATGTGCAGAAATATTATAAATTAAAAAATAGGCTTTGCAGGCGATATCCCTTGGAGCTGCACAGAAATCAAAGTTAAAACATTTTACGAGTTTGGTCAATTTGACCAACCTCGTAACCACCAAAAAATCTAAATTACCCCTTTTTTAATGATTTCATACTGTAGCATGAAACTACATTTGTTTATCTTTAGTAGCTTTTAGCTCACAACAGTATACAACTATTTATACTTAAATTTTCTTGTTTTATTGCCCTTTGAACCATGTCTAATTACCATTTGTAAATCACTTGGGGAACGTGGGGCTCATTGTTATGTTATTGATTTACATTACTCACGAGCTTCTCCAAACTGCTCACATGTGTGCCTCATGAAAATTTGTTATCAAATTAAATTTTAGACTTAAAGTCACTAAAAGCCTTGTGACATGCGCAGTAATGGATGCCCATGCAGAGAGGGTTAAATGAGCTTCATTAACCATGAATCTTGGTGTGGTCATCTAAGATTAACAAGTTTCATCAGTATGTTTACTATAATTCTCACCTTACGAAGATCTATTACATCCTGTAACATAAATCTTATCCTGGAGGAAGTAAGTCGTTTCTTCACAATGTTCTCCATGGTTTTAAAGTAGTTATCCATCTGGAAAACAAAACAAAAAAATTAATAATGATAGTAAAAATATTATGGGCAAAGCAAATTAATGAAAGCTCTTATAAATAAAATTATTTTAATAATCCATTTACTTTTGTTATATTTATTTATACTCTGGGTGGTAATTTTGGTTACGTCCTTTCAACCTCAACATGTTTGAGGACAACCAGGGGTGTTCAGAAGCTTTTATCTGCTTCTCTTCAACCCCACTGCTTGGTGAGAGATGTACATATTCGTGAGTATTATAGTTTGTCCTGGATTTGGTTTGACCGGGTCTGGAGCATACGTTTACTTTTGTTCTTCAACTAGTGTTTATGTATAGTAGAGATACACTGACACCACTTTTTGCCAATACTACCAATATATAATACTTGCATTTGGCTATCAAGACATACTGATGATGTCATGAAAAGTTTATGTCCCAGGCTAGCATAAGTTGAAACACTACCAGTGACATGAAGAAAAATTTAATATTTTCAAAACTAATTAATTAATTTTCCATGCTGGCATAAATTTTGGCATAGCCAGAAACATGAAGAATGCAATATTTATAATATTTTTTCATTCATTTTCCTCTATCGGTACCCATAGTACTCAGAATCACTGATAATGCCGCTAATTGCACCAATATAATAATCAGCGTATTTCTATCCTGTAGTAAATTTGATTTTAAAAGATCATGTGAGTTTTACTGTTCTAAAGGTTTTTATGGGCTTTATCTGTCCCAAACCTTATAGAGATGAAAAGTAATGAGCCGAACAACTGTCAAAATGTAACCATGTTTTTCCTTTTTAGTAAGTGTAAATCCTATATTGTGTATAACTGACAATGATTAAGTGGTGAAGATTTAGATGAATTGCTGAGTAACATTTCAAATTCAATCACTTTCTGTGGAACTCAACTTGTAGTTGCTTGTTGGGCTTTGAGCCAAGCTAAACAAGGGCCATCTGTACTAACTGTCCCTAATTTTGAAGTGACAGAGGTACGACAGTGAGTCAACACCAACTCTTGTATGTCAGAAGGATGTCATTTTTATAATACACCCAAAACCCAAAATTAACTTTGTGCATGTGTGTGCGTGTGATAGAGATGTGTACCAAGGAAACTTAGCTCCACAAAAAGAGTATGCTAACAACTGAGTCATGCTTAGCCACTCAAGTTAGGAATTCATTCACAGGGCATCAAAATAAAAGATCAAGTCTCTAAAGCATTAACTCTAAAAATCTATGATTTATAAACATATATCAGGAACAACACAAACCGTTGAGGGAAAATAAGAATTTCAGCTCACCTGTTGAGTCCAGACTTTGTTTTTGCCCCTGTCTCCTTCTAGCTCCTTTCCAACAGTAGTCAGGAGCCGACAAAGACACTCTAAAGAATCTTCATCTTGTTGAGATAACAGTTTGTGTATACAACTGTCCATGATCTTGGGAGTTAGCATGCTTAGCTTGAACAATTCTCCAATAAACCTAAAACGTTTCGATAAAAAGAAAAGACATATATAATACACAGATTACTCAACATAATAGCATTTCTGTTATTAAAATTAAAAAAATATTGCTCTAAGGCTATCTTTCTTTTAAATACAGAATATATGAATCACAGTAAATTGGGATAACCTATCCAAAAAATATGGTATAGCTTATTTAACTTTCCAATACCAGTGAAAAATGTAAACTCAAATGTTTTGTTTCATATAGTATGAACGATTTTTGAAACAACATTTTTACGACTATACATACTTAAGTATTTATAACAAAAACATTGCACTTGCCAATCTTGTTGTGTGAGGAACACAAGCTGTAATGGCCAATTAGCCAAGAAGATTGTTTTACTTCCTTTTCTCATAAGATGAAATATTTGACTTCCTGTTAAGAGCTTTAGATCAATTCATTTCAAATTTGAAGTTTAATACAACAACACGAATACCAAAAAAGGTATATAAGCTGTGTTGTATGATTTTTGTTATAATATTAATTCTCCTCTTTAATAATTGTAACTAATTTTAACCGTAACTAAGTGTAAAGCACGAGTAAGAACTGAACTCTTGACGCGTGCTACCTAATACAATTTAAGTTCATGTATTACAACAGATAACAGTTTAAACATATTAAATACACATTTGACAAATACTAGTTTTGGTATGATACAATAAAACGTATATGTTGAAAAACTTCACTCAGAAGCAAGGAATTTCACACATGAAAACATCAGCGTAAAGGGTCGAATAACCATGTCTCGACTGGTTTTCTTTAATATCTAAACGATTCCAAGATTCATAGAATGTATGTATTCACAGGTTTGTAGAGTGATAAATAAAATTACAATATAAATGAAAAGCTACGCACCACACCCATCCAATCGCATCCTGTCTTTCAAAAAATGTCCAATTCTTTCTGACATTTGCTATTACATTATTTATAACCAACAGAATGAGAATAGTTGAATTTATCAAATTTCTATGAGGCTTGAATCATCCAGATTACAGGTTTTGAAAAATTTGCTCCAATTTCATTGTTTCCCATCATAGGAGTTTGGCTCGACCAAATATCAAAATCAGTTTAACCCATTTATAACTTAGCTAGAAAACCAGTTAAATTATAATAATTTTAAAACGTTCTATTATTTCTGCACGACAATACTGTGTTTATAAATGGAATTTTTTAAAATTAATTTGTGAGACAAGTTCAACTTCTAGTTCTCAGTCTATCCCATTTCTTCAGTTGTAGCTCCTCAGTGGCTCAGTAGTAAGTCTGAAGATGTATAACACTAAACCCCAGGTTTTGATACAAGATAGTCCACTACGTAGCTTTGCACTTAACAACAAAACAAACCAAACAAATTTCAATGATAATACATTTTGAGGTTCTGTGTCTGAAATTGTTATAGTATTACTATAGTTTGGTTCTTTGGAGCTTATTTTTAATTATTGTTTTTGAAAATGTGATTATATATATGTATGAATTGGACGTTAAATGTCATCGTTTGTAGGAAGAGAAGAAAAAGCAATTGAGAGAAGATTTAGAAGAAGCAGAAAAGAAGGCAAAGAGGCAATCATTAGGAAATATTAGGTACAAAAAACTTGTTGCTTCATTTGTGTCCATGACTAGAATTTAAAATTCAATTAACCCTCTGTATGCAGGCATGATAATATTAACCGACCTTGTAACCATCACATAATCATGAAACTACGTATCCTGTTGGAAATAAAAATGTTTTTCATCTTAAGTTTATAAATTTTATTTGCATTGTCGCTAGAAATTTCTTAGTGAATACCAAAAGTTTTTCTTTCAGTAAAACTTTATAAATGTAACAAAATCAGAAAGTTTGGGTAAAATGAAGAGTTGAAAAATAGTTTTTTATTTCTAGAATAAATTTACATGATAACAGACAAACACATGCTATTTATTCTTGCAGCCAATGCTAAGCTCATTTAATTATATTGCTCTGTAGCTGTGTTTATTCATTCATCACAGTGGGATGGCATTTTGTAAACAAGTTATTGAATTACCAACATGGACATCAAGTTATACAATCATGCCTTGAGATGTCCTGAGTAATTTCTTCATTTAAATTTTTTTCCATTTAAGTTTTTTTTTTATCTAATCAAAAAAGTTTCTGATTTTTATATTTTAGTTCATTTTCTATCAATAAATTATAATCATAAAAATACAAGAAATCTGGAATCTTGTCTTTCTCCTGTTTTTGTACTCCTAAGAATGAAGTTTGTTTAGTAATGATAGTGTGGCTACACATTTTTCAAACCATTGTCCTATGTTTTCAGAAATATAATACCAGGAGAAGAGTATAATGATAGTTATTCAGAGATTATGAGCTTGAATTAAATATTAAACAAGTATATTTATACAGGAGAGAGAGAGAGACATGGAAAAAATTATTTCATACTATTTATATACATCAAATAATCAATTCATAATGTTTCATCCAGAAGTTTATATTTATTAACAAATTACTGGCAACAACAGCTGGAGTTGTTTTGTACAATAAAGCAGGAGATAAACAGTCCTACGTTGAAATTGGTCAGTAGACTATTTCATTCATTACATAAAATATATTCTTGTATAATTGTAAAAGGTGTTTTTGTTTGAATTTCTTGCAAAGCTACAGAAGGCTATCTACCTGTACTAGCTGCTCCTAATTTAGCAGTGAAAGACTAGAGGGAAGGCAGCTAGTCATCACCACCCCACCACCAACTTTTGAGATACTTTTACCAACAATACTGGGATTGACTGTCACATTATAATGCCCCCCATGGCTGAAAGGGTGAGCATGTTTGGTGGGATGGGGATTTGAACACGTACCCACAGATTGCGAGACAAACTCCCTAACCACCTGGCCAGTAGGTGTTTTGGAGTTGTATAGTTAATTTCTCTGAATCCTTTTTGACTATAATGCACACTTGAAACAAGTTAGCAACAAGAATACGTTCTGAAGCAGTAGACTGTAATGTGAAGAAGTCACAGAAAAAAGAAAGCATAAACTGGATCACTACATCAGCAGTTATATCAAACCACTTGGAAATAAATCACTACATCAGCAGTTATATCAAACCACTTGGAAATAAATTAGGTGGTGATTATCATCACTTGT